ATCCAAAAAATTTGGTTTTTACGTCAAATCTGCCTGAAGTAGAAAACAAATTAAACTTGGAACTTCAGCATCTCATAATCCAACTATATGTTATTTTAAAAGGTGCATTAAAAGTTTTGTTGAGGGCTCCATATTTTCTTGCCCAGATTTCCTATGTGCCTTTTTTCCTTCAGTCCTAATCAAGTCTATAAACTAACACTTTAAAAAATTAAAGAGTTAAACTGCATGATAGTATATACCTATAATAAAAGCATCCTGAGAGGCTGAACCAGGAGGATTGCAAGCTTGAGCCCAGCCTAGACAAGTTAGTGAAAGTTTGCTTCAAAATAAATAATAAAAGACAGCTGAGGATGTAGCTCAGTGTGAAAGCCTTGGTTCAATCTCCAGCACCACACACATACAAAGACAGAGAGGGCAAACAAACTTAAGAGTTAAGCCCCGAATTTCTACCTTATTTATGATATAACATCCTCTCAGAAAGTAATTACAGAAACACAGGAAATGACTTCTCTCGGAATGAGTGTGCCTGGGATACTGCTTCCTAATCTCCTTCGGGAGAACTGCAATGTAACGAAACATTCCAAGCCCAAAGATCGGTAACTACAATAGGAGAGGAATGATGTAGATAGAGTTCCTTGGGTTTAATTTACTAGTGGAAAATATAGACCAAAAAGAAAAAAAGAAAAAAATAAGACTACAAAAAGCCGAGTTCCTCCTGAAATAGAGGAAAGACCACTTTTCTCCATATAGATGAGAACAGGGCTGATACACAACACATATTTGATTTTATTGAACCACTCCCTTCCTGTCTATTTTGGCCCTACAGGAGTTTCACTCACTAGGTAGAGCCTAGAATCCATCCAAAAAGAAAAAATTATGCCTTATTTGAAATAATGATCACTTCCTCCTAAGCAAACCAAACAACCCCTGGTACTCAACCTACACTAATCCAACTACTATTAAGGAATCTGGGTAGATTCAGGATATCTGAGAAAAGATGCTCACCTAAAACTGGCCTAAGGTGAAGCAAGGAGAGGATTTATCACAGCAGCCATCAGATCAGATTACTCATACTCAAGTGGTGCTGAGTCCTCCAAGCAAGAAAAAACACTGCCAACTACCACAAGAAAGGGTATGTTGGAAATAATGGAAAAGAAATACTCTTCCTCTCAAAGATAACATTAGAGCTGCTTGGGCTGCAAAGATAAGTAAAAATATATGAAAACTGTAGTACACTTAAGGATAATTTAACTTCAACACAATTGCAACATCAATTCAAAAGATAGCACACCTCATACTTCTGTCTCTAGATGGCTTCAAAGTTTCAAGGAATAATCTGTATTGCTTTTCTGCAAACTTCAGCAGGTTGCACCTGCTTTGCATCTCACAGTCAGAAAACCTGGAGGAAGATTTACACCAACACAATGTTGTAGCGGGGGGAAAAAAAATCATTCTCCAAGCAGTTTAAACAGAAAAGTAGATTTAAAAGTGAGAATCAATATATAGGAATATAGAAAGAAAAGGACACCCAGCTACCCTTAAAGGCAGAAATATTGACTCATCAAAGCTGGGGGGTGGGCACAGAAGAGACTGAATTTGTCTTGAGTTCACCTTCCGGTCAAGAAATGCTCTCTGAACTGGGAACTGGAAAGCACAAGTGTTTGTCCTGGTTCTGCAAGAACTGGGGTCTTGGGCAAAATCCCTAGTCTCTGGGTCTCAGATTTCTCACTGTAGGTATCCCCAAGTCTCTAGCCTCACCAGTCTACTCAGGTCTAGGGTGATGAGACCAAAGGGGAACGGGTCCACTGAAGGAGCCGCAGAACTTCCCTCTCCTTACCTACTCCATAGTACTGGGCCCCAACTTTCAAGAGATGCTGTTGTCCTGGAAAAAAGGGGGCTCTGGTGGACTGGGAAGAGATGGCACGGCCCCTTCTGTCCCTAAAAAGGGTCCATTCCCTACCGACTCAGCTCTCTGCAAATCTGGAAGTAACCCCCTAACCTGGGCCCTGATTTAAATGTTTCAGAGCTAGGGGTCAAATCCAGGCCAAGGAAACCCAGCTAGAGGTTGAGGCTCAGTAGGTAGCAGAGCATGGGAGTGAGAGAGGTGATGTAGGTGGGGCGGAAGAGAAGCGCCCAGGGCAGAGTGGAAGGAGGGCAGCCCTCCCGGACGACGTTGTTTACCCCATAGTTTGGCCCACCGGGGGTCTAGACCCTGGCCTCGGAGCTCCCAAGCAGCAAGCTAGGGGTGGCCCCCGAGGCAGAGGCAGCTGGGCCGCTGGTGAGCGCACCACTGCGACCCGTCACTCCCCACCGCCTCCGCCCCTACCCCTCAGCCCTGTCTGCAGAAACAGCAAAACAAAACAAACTCGTGCCGGCTTCCTGTTGTGCAACAGAGTCCTGAGTAGGTCGCAGGCTTAAAGGGCGCCGCCTCTGGAAGCTCGGGCCGCAGGGACCTGCATGCCGCCCGGACTGAGTGGGAGTCTGGAGCTAGGGAGCCACAGCCCGGCTCCCGCAGACCTGGGGCACAGCGCCCCGACGCGGGCCCCAGCCCGGGGGATGCGAGTTGCTCGCTGGCAGTGTCCTTTCGCTTCCCGCCTCCCAAACTCCCCTCTCTAGTCTCAGGAGGGGAGTACGGGGCCAGGAACCTTCCCCAAAGCTTCTCCCTCCAGGTACCTAACTGAATCACCCACAGGATGACAAATCCGCTAAGGACAAGATTTCCAGACACAAGAGTGATTTCCTCGTCCTCGAGGTGACTTGTCAGCTCCAGTGAGTAACTTGGAACTGTCGCTCGGGGCAAGGTGTGTGTAGAGGAGAGAGAGCGACAGCTCACTCACGCTTTCCAGAGTGCGGCTCCAACAGACTTCAAAATACACAGGGTCATTTTTAGGGACTGGAGCCTTGCGCGGGACAAAGTCCCCGAGACTGAGACATTTTCCAAACAGTGCTGACATTTTGTCGGGCCGCATGAAAATGTAAATGTGAGGTGACGAACCGGCGGGGACTGCTGTTGTCTGAACGAGTCTGAGCGTCCGTGGCGTGGGAGGTGAGAGTTTGACCTAGCGGCTGAGCGTCTCCGGGCCAGCCCCTAAGTCCAGGACCCTCGAAACCGCGGGGCACCCGCCTGGTGAGGCTCAGGGGTGGAAAACAGGCTTCGTGGGGCTTCACGCACACGTGGGACTTGAAAAAGCAAATGCAGCCCTGTGGGCGCGGAAGACCTCAGGTCACCCCATCAGTCCCCACTTCGCCAAAGTTTCCCTCAAGTGGGGACACAGGGTGGCGTGCACCGTGCCCCGAATGTGTAGCCTTGTGGAACCTGTAGTTTAAAGGAAAACACAAAAACTCTTCCCAAAGAGGCAAACTTTAACACCGTGTTGATTTCCTTTCTGTGGTCTCCGCTCGGGGCTCAAGGAACTGACAGGAACGCAGCGCTATTGCTCTCCGAGGGCTGCCGGAGACCTCCGTAGGCGGTGGTCTCGGAAACACCTCTGACCTGGGGTGGGGTGCGCGGATCGTGGAACCCGCCGGCTTGGCGCGGGAAACTATTTCTAATCCCTACTAGTCTGCGTCCCAAGCTTTACCTCCCCCACACGCTCACACTCGCGAGCGCCTCGCCTCTCCCCGTCTCCCGCCTGCCCGCGAACAAAGTTCCTATGGCACCCACTTACCAGGTAACCGGGCTCTCCACAACACAGCTCGGCGTGCGCGTCCCTTCCCGGGCCGGCCGGTGCGGTGACAGCGGGGGGCCGGCGCTAGTGCCCAGCGACTC